TTGTGCTTTCTGCTGTGTTGACTGACAGATGTGAGTCCTGCAGTGTTGAAGTCACAGGACTATAAACCTTCTCAGTTCTCTGGAGGATCAGCTGATGATGCAAAGCCTCCTCTCTATGGAAATGATTTCTCTGCTCTCAACATACTGAGGGCAATGTGGGCACAAAGTCAGAAGAAAAATTGATTGAATTAATACCATTAATAATTTTATGCCATAGAGAAAAACATATTTGGAAACATATTTATGTATTTTTAACACCTGGATTAAAATGGCACTCTGGTCTGTATGCTTATTTTTGATTTTGGTATCATAAATACAATATACCTGTATAGCGTTCTTAAGTATATTGTCATAGTTTCACAATTCATGATTTTTTGAGGCATTTCTGGTTGCTGTTTTAAACAGTGTTTTGTGTGTTTTAAAAAATTAATATGTGTAATGTGAAAATTACGTTTTGTCGTTCAGTTCGTAATACTAAAAATACAGTGATGACAATTATGATTTAAATTCATTAGATAATTTTAAGTCACTTTAGTCAAATCATCTTCTGCATTTAATGAGGTGTGCTGTGATGTTTTACATGAAAAAAAAGTTCATTTTCAATGGTTTGAGGTTTGTTCAGAGTGCAGGAGGTTTTTGTACGGCCACTTAATCAGTTTGTATCACTGTGGAGGACTTTTGGTGGAGGAACCAAACTCATCGTTGACTGTAAGTACCAGAAATTTGTAACTTTTGAAAAATGTAGTATTTATTAAGCATTTCAATCAAATCTATTAAACAGACCTTTGATTAAATTCAGTGATTATTATTAATGTCATGGCAACATTTTGGAAGAAACTTTTCTTAAATCAATATTCATTCGGTCTTTTAAGGAACTGAACTTACAGAAAATACATTTTGATGGTTTTTTGGGTTCATTTCACTTTAAATATTATCCGGTTACAATAATAAAATCTGTGATGGTGACGTTTTAGCTGACTTTGATTTAAAATGTATTTTTACTCATGAATTATAAAATAAAAACAAATATTGAATTATGTTTTGTCGACTTATATTAGAAAAAATAAAGTAATATTTAGATCAATTTTTTGTTTATGGCTGATCAATTTTAAATGAAGTTTAAAGGAAGTGAAAGAAACAGATGTGAAGTTTTAACTGTATTCTCATGAGTGCTTGAGCTTTGTCAGTTTCAAATAAGATAATTATCACAAGGTCAAGTTATTAACTGTAAAACATCATGAAAAAATAAAGGTTTGATCAATAATCACTGACAATATATTTATTCCTATGTTTGAACATTTGTATCTCTTTTTTCGATTATCTTCAACCTTTTCTCCTCCAGTGGGTGTGATGAGGCCCACCCTCACTGTCCTCCCTCCATCCAAAGACGAAGACAAACAGAGTAGTGCCACTGTGTTGTTTGGCCACCGGGGGCTTCCCCTCAAATTGGAATTTGGGCTGGAAGGTGGGGAGCACCAGCACATCCTCAGGGGTTTCAA